AAAGAACAAAGGTTGAGATAAGATAATTGAGTAAAATGATGAAATCTAAATTCTGACCCTGTCAGTTCCTCTATCCCTGAGTGATCTGAGATTATTTTATCAATTTTGTCTCTCTATTTTCTCATTTATCTATTAAGAGTGTTACTCAAGATAACAGCTGAAGTTCCTCCTGGCTCTGAAGCCAAATTCCTGTGGTAACTTTGGAATAAAGGGGAAAGAGCATGGGACTACAAGTTACAAAGTTTGAATTCCTGTCCTCGCTTTACGAGTAATCAGCTGTATAGACTCCGATAAATAATTTCCTGCCTCTGGCAATTGTTTCCTATAAAATGAGAGGTGGCTTAATCAGCTTTAAGTTTTATGAGTTAGTGTCACAAAGATGGGAGTGTCCTGGTCATCTTCTCTGAAGAGTATTCATGAGCTCAAGGGGGTCAAGCATCCTAATGGTTATGTAGGAAGAATCCAGGCTTCGATCAGCCAGACAGTGTGGAAATTGCTGCCTACGTATTTTGCAGAAAGACTATCCACCTCTCACCATCTGACATCTGCCTTGTGTTTACTTGACAATTGTTCTCTTTATTTTTTTATCTTATTACAAAAGGGAGACAAGTTCAAAGGAAGAGAAAAGCAAAAATAAGTAAATAAATCATACATATCATCTACCCCAACCCCCAGAGACATCCACAGTTAAGTTTTGTTATATATTTCATACACCTGTTTAAAATAGCTCCATGTAAAATGCATCATTGACTAAATCCCTAAGTTCTCAAGAAATGTGTGTTAAAAAAGTGTTCCTGAATTTACTGACCTTCTCTCTCTTGCAATTCCGGTGTTGCCCTCTTCTTGGTTACCTTTGGCTGTATCATGGCCATGCTAACAGGACAATGATTTTCTGATTGTCTTTCCTGGTTCAGCCCAACAGACCCGGGCTCTCCTAGGCAGCATTAGCAGAAGGCTGATAGCAGATACAGTGAGCTCCACACAGAAAGTGGCCAATGGTTGCAACTGCAAACAAGTAATAATGAAATTATGTAAAATTGCATCAATCCCCTCCAGTCCAAGTCAGAGGACATCAGAAGTCAGAAGTCTCTCTCTTTTTTTTTTTTTTTGGTACCAGGAATCGAACTCCGGTCCTTGCACTTGTGCAGAGGGTGGCGAAACCACTGAGCTAAATCCCCGGCCCCATCAGAAGTCTCTTGATGAGAATCTCTCACCTTAGACCTGGGGTGGGGCTCAGAAAACTTCTGTAAAGGGCCAAGTGATAAATATCTTAGACTTTGTATGGACTAATATGATTGTTGCAGCTATTCAACTTTGATACTGTAATGCAAATGCAGTTACAGTGATACATAAATATATGGATTTTACTATGTCCCAGTTAAAATTTACTTACAAAATCAGGCCTGGTTCAGAATTAGCCTGTGAATTATTGTTTGATTACCTCTGCTTTAGACCCTGGCTGCTATGAGGCTATGATGCACTTTCTCGGAGCTGAATCTCTACTCCTTAAACTCTAAGTTGAAAGAAGAAACCCTTTTCTATTCCAGAAAACATCCAAATAAACTCTGCATTCAAAAAAAAAAAAGAAGAACTCAAAAAATTTTAGCATTCCATTTTCCTGAACTTTGTCCTCCTGATTGGTTTTTTAAGACAGGGTCTTCCTATGTAGTCAAGGTTGGCCTTGAACTCACTATACAGCCCAGGATGGCCTTGAACTCCTGCTTCAGTCTCCGAAGTGCTGGGATAACAGGCATGTGCCACCATGCCTGGCATGTCCTCCTGAATTTTACATTACCTTGGAAAAACTAACTTGACAATTGTTGTTTGTTGGCTGATTTGTTTCTTCCTAGAGTAGAACACTGAAGCAACCCATGGATCCAAGAAAAACTTTGAAATTATTGTTGCTTAACTCATTCTGTAGATGTAGAGTTCTTAGGGCCTGTCCAAGGTCAAGTTACTTGTGCTTCCCCCTCTATCCACCATTTTGTAGGAAAGGCTAATGGGCAGGGAATACAACACAGAAGAGTTATCTCTCCTTACCCAAGCCGTTGCTGAAGACCTCTGTTTTCTCTTTTTCCTTCTTGTTATAATAGGAACTTCACAGTTCAATGAGTTCTGTAGAGTATTTTGGCAGAAAATGTAGTTTGAGCTGCAACTTGCTGTAGTAATAATAGCTACCATTTATTGGGAGATTACTATACACCAGGCACTTTGCCAACTGTTTTATATGTGTTATCTCATTTAATTCTCACAATTCTATGAGATAGGCACTACTCCTTTTCCATCTTATGCATGGGAAACTGTACTGTCAAGAGGTTAATCAGCTTTGCTGGGTTCACAGAGCCAGAAAATGGTGAGTGAATTTGGAATGTGGATCTCTCTGACTCAAAAACGAGTCCTTCTAAATATAACAGCATGGAGATTCTGCAACTAAGAGTCTGAGTCCCTCTGGGATACACTATGTGTGCACATTACCTCTACCCCCAATTCCCCCAAGGCAGTGGAAGGTTATGACCTTCCTCATAAAGGGCATTATAGTTTTGACATTCTTTTAAGATCAAAGCCACTTAATAAAGTACTTCTATTGATCGTTTCTAGTAAATAAGTTCATGATAGGCTAGTGGGCTTTATTTCAGACAGAGCAATCTATTAGAAGGAAGAAGTTCAACATATGTAGCTTAATAAAGCTTCTTTCCTTGTGTGATCTTTTAGACCAAAATATAACACTGGAATTGAATGGCTGTGCATAGCAAAGTTAGAATTGATATTCCTACCTCCACTGTGTCCTCTACAAATGATCTCAATGATGAATAAACATTTTCCATTTACCAAATATCATCAAAATTTCTATTTACATTATACATTTAATTATAATAACATTGGCATTAGTCAGGATAATCTAGGCTCTGCTATGGTAACAGGCAATGTTAAAATCCTGGAGGCTTAAAATAGCAATGTTTTATTTCTTGTTCAGGCTATTTGTTTATTATAGTCACCTGAAGACTGTGCTGCACATAGATCAAGAAATTCAAGAACCATTTGAAATCTAAGACCATTCTGGAACTTTCTGGAATATTCTATCTGCAACATCTCTGGTTGGTGTTTGGAATATTGTTGTTGATTGGCATTGCAGAAGGAAAAGAGCGCTTGAATATCTCATTTTACCAGTTAAATATGAAGTCAAGAAATGTTTCATGTTGCTTTTATGCAAACTTATCAGAGCCACATGAGAAAGGGATAGAAATAAAATATTTGCTTGAAGGCAAATGTTGTTATTATCCTTCTTTTTACAAAAGAGGAAAGAAAGCTAAGGAGCTTAGCTAAGGTTATCTAGCTCGATAAATCATTAAGCCAAGATTTGACTTTCTGATAGATGTCTAAACAGGCTGCTATAATACAAAATAGATTAAGATGCAATAGCAGTTTCAGTAATAACAACAAAATCTCAAGTGAATTGTAAAGAATGAATAATTCTAATTGGGAGGCGGAACATCTTAAAAAGAAAAGAGAAAAACAAGGCATTGAGGAGGTGATATGGCTTGAATTGAATCTGATTTACTTTTTTTTTTTTTGGTACCAGGGATCGAACTCGGGTCCTTGCGCTTGCATAGCAGGCGGTGAAACCACTGAGATAAATCCCCGGCTGAATCTGGAAAGATGAGAAAGTCATCCCAAGAGAAGAGGGGAAGCCAAAAATATAGAGATGGAAGTGTGCAGGATAAGTTGGGTTTGTAAGGCAAAAGTAAGGGGAATTTGAGAGGAGTTAGGTTATGAAGCAACAGGAAACGAGGTAGAGACTAGTGACAAACTATTGGTTTTATTTATTCTCCCAGCCATAAGGGGATGCAAACAGGGTATTAGTCTAGAATAACTCATATCCACAGCTAGAAATTCTAAGTCACTGAAGGCATAAATGTATTCAATAACAAGTGAAAAGTCTCATTTCTATAGAACTGTAGCATTTTTTAGAGTTTTATAGAGTGCTTGGTACATTGTAGATGTTTAATAAATATTTATCATACATTGAATGATTTCCAGAAGAAAGGTATATGAAGTTTAGAGTTTACCCCGAGGGAAAAACAAGTACTACTTGAAATCTAAGGATAAGGGAAACCTGCAATGGATTTTCTAGATTGAATTTGTCACTGAGGACTCGAGAGTACCAACATGCTGGCAAACAGCCAAGAAAATAAGAAAGATGAAATGCTAGGGCAGACTGTGTGGTTGAGGTCTGACTAGTCCTGCAGTGAATGGAACTTTTATATGGAATTGCTTTTATCTAATGTAATTTTCTGTGGAAGAGTATCCTCCTGACCTAGTTGTGTTAGTTACCTTTCTCTCTCGTTGCTGAGACAAAATACCTGACACCCAAAGTTAGAAGGAAAGGGTTTATTTGGCTTACAGTTCATAGAGGTTTTAGTCCATAATTAGCTGACTCCAAGGCAGGGATGACAAAGAGGCATGGCAGAGTAGAAACAACATGGCACACACAAGCCAGCAAAGGTAACAAGAGAGAATTACTGATGTATCCCTGGCCCTTTTATTTTATTCAGACTATTTAGGGCTGGAAGCTCTCACGCCCTTAATACTAGTGACCTTGAGCCTAGCATTGCGTCATGAATCAATTCCAGCTTCATACATTCATTCTAGTTCAAGCCTATGACCACGTGAGACTTTGGAGGGACTTCCAGACCCAAACCATAACCCTAGTGTAATGAAGCTGATTGTTATTTACGTGCTTAGAATCATCAGTGAGAAGAGAGAGAGAAAGAAAGAAAAATTAAATCATAAAACACTTGAGCTAAGCACACCCTTTGCTTGGTTTGATCAATGGGAGCCCTCCTGGATTTACCACTAGAAAGTTTTCAGGGGCCAGGCTGTCAAAACAATTAGAGTTCCTTAACCCAAAATACACAAATGTTAAGTGGGGAGGGAATTCTTCTCTGGGTACCCTGCCCATCTCTAACTCTGTGATGAGTGGAAATCTCCTGGTGTGTTTCTTCCTGGGAATGGACCATTTTTTCCTTTTCATACCCAAATGAATCCTAACCCCTAAGAAGAATTTAGAAAGTCTAAAAATTAGGCAAATGAGGATCAGGGAAAACAAGTGATTTTATTAATAAATGGTCTTGTACTTGCATGCTGGGGTGCTGATCTTGGACACATCCTGAGGATAATAGTCACCATATTTTATGAGAGTGAAAACTGTCTCCCGGTGTAAAAATGGGCAACTATGGGTTAACTGTGTAACTATGCTTGCTGAGAAAGATACATTGTAACCAGTCACTACTGTAATACAAACTCACTAGAGCAAAGCAATCCCAGAAAGCCCTGCCAAACTTCCTGCTCCCACCTTCACTGCCCCTTTGCCTATGTAATTGTGTTTAGATTGATGGCTGTTTTCCCAGTGATTACGGTTGCTGTTTCCCCCTCCCATAGAAACATAAAGGTATAAAAACGAGAGTAAACTTCTGTTTGACATTTTTGAGGTGATCTGAATCCCTTGAAGCTGCCAGCGATAAAGCTGATTTTTGCTCCTACTTATGTGGTCAGTGGTCTGTCCGGAGACCCTCAAGCGGTCACACTTCACTTCTAAGGGTCATTTAAATTTTAGAAATATCACTAGGCAGCTGGGTGGAAGATAGATGGAAGGAGAAGATATTGCAGTGCAGATGGTACCAGCAGTTGATTACAACAATCAGAGAAGGTAAGAAAGAATGAAGACCTCAATTTTAGCTGTAGTTATGGGGACAAAGAGGAGGGGACCTGTATTAGTTTGCTAGGCCTGTCATAAGGATGCTACACAGAGTAGGTGGCTTAAACAACAGAAATATATTGTCATACAGTTCTAGAGGCTAGAAGTCCAAGCTCCAGAGTTGGTTCTTTCTGAGAATTATAAGGAATAGTCTGCTTTGTGCCTCTCTCCTAGCTCCTGGTGTTAGTAATTTTTGGCATTCCTGGTTTCCGCTGTATCACTCCAATCTTTTTTTTTTTTTTTTTTGGTACCAGGGATCGAACTCAGGTCCTTGCGCTTGCACAGCAGGCAGTGAAACCATGGAGCTAAATCCCCGGCCCATTACTCCAATCTTTGCCTTCATCTTCACATGGTATTTTCCCTGTGCCTTCACACTATCGTCCTTCTGTGTTTGTGTCTACATTTCCAGATTTTATAAGCACACCTGCCATATTAGATGGGTGGCCCTCCCTATTTCAGATAATTGGTTGTGTTTGTAAAAGCCTTATTTTCCAATGAAGTCATCTTCTGAGGAACTGGGAATGAGGACTTTAATATATAAATTTTGGAGAAAAACAACTCAAGCCATGACAGGGCCCATTTCAAAGAGCTTTAATTAAAATGGCTTTATAAGAAATAGAATGAGGTTGGTTATTTATGAATTTATATAGTTTGGAAATGATGAGGTGTTAACCTAAAATGGCAGTATTTTCAATTTAGCAAAAATTAAACAGTAGTTCCCTGTCCTTGTTATGCAATAACAATATTCATATATTGAAGTCTAACCTAGGTCCTACTCCAACATGAATGCTGTCCTTATAAAAAGGGTTTAGAATACAGACACCATGCAAAGAAAGAGCATGTGAAGTCAGAGAGAGAGAGAGAGAGAGAGAGAGAGAGAGAGGATGGCTATCTACAAGCCAAGGAGAGAGGACTTGGAAAAGAAAAAAATAAACTCACTGACACTTCGATCTCAGATTTCCAGCCTCCAGAGCTGTGAGGAAATACATGTCTGTTGTTTGAGCCTCCCAGTTTGGATGTTGCTTTACTGCATCCTGAGCAAACTAATAAAGTCATTTGAAGCCTGAGCCTGGGGTAGGAGACAGTAGTTGGGAAGTGGAGAACATTTGAGTCTTTCAACCCTAACAGGATCCATATCCACCCAGGAACAGATTTAGCATGTCTTTCTGTAATCTGATGGTTTGCAAACTTCATAAGGCCTGAAAGTCTGAGGCACCCCCACTTTAACAAGTGCTGGCATGCTAAATGCCACCGTGCTGTGCTGTTGGCCTCCGGCAACCCTTACCACTTGGGTTTTTAGATGAAAGGTTTGCTCAGTGAAGAAAAGCCAACTGAGTATTTTTCTGCCATCAAGAAAGAAAAGAATTTGGATAGAAGAGAAGATTAGAGAGAGGGGAAAGAATGAAGTAGTGGGAAAGGAAAAACAAAAGGAAAGACAGAAGGAGAAGGGAGAATGAGAGACACTATTGGAGAGGCTATGGCAGCTCCTCAGCCTCAGCACCACTGACATTCCGGGCTGGGTGGCTCTTGTGAGGCCTTGCTGTGCGCTGCAGGAGGCTTCACAGAATCCCTGGCCTCTACCCTCTAGATGCCTGTAGCGCCCTCTGCACTCATGTGACAACCAAAAATATGTCCAGTCAGTGTCGAATGGATAAAATCACTCTGGTGGATAAAATCACTTGTGGTCTATCTAGGCTGTGGCATAATTTCCCTAAAAATATGCACGTAGTTTAGTTTTACAGAAGAAAGGAAAGGTAAGGAAACATGTGCCCGTTAGGAAGATGGGGTGCAGGCATTGTTCCTATAGGGCCCCACCATTTGGGGGCATAGGTGTGACCGAGCGTTCAGTACACAGTGTGCTGTGTTTATCAGGCACAGACAGCTGACTTTTGCTTCACAAGACAGCTGATGTCATATACCTGTGACAGTTCACCACATTTCTTGTAACTGAAATTTCTTCCCTACTCAGAATATGGAGCACCCAGCTAAACACAGTCATATATCAGAGTTTCATGCCTTCCTTCTAATTGGTTCCAGTGCATTCTACTTCTTCAATATGATGCTTTTTCTCAGCTGAAAGATGGCCTAGGATAGCCCGAGCTTTTGTCTCTGGTCATTTTAGTGAAATCAGTGGGCATCAAGGAGAGAACATTATTAACTATTAAAATCTAATGCTCCAGCACCAGCAAGCCTGAATTGTGTTCTTGCTGTTATTTTGGGCAGAACTTTTCTGAGTCTTTATTCTCTCATTCTGTATAATGGGGTAAAATAATATCTCAAAGGATTTGGATTTTTTTTGGTACCGGGGATCGAATTCGGATCCTTGCACTTGCGAGGCAGGCGGTGGAACCACTGAGCTAAATCCCTGGCCCACAAAGGATTTGTTTTGAGGCTAAAGCTAATAAGTGAAAAGTACTTAGCTTAGCCTTGGAAAGGATGCCATAAATATTTAATTTTACTTTTACTAGCAAGGAGGGATCAGAAAAATGAAGGCAATGGATATTAAATAATATAAAAAGAGATCAAAAGATGTTTATCTTGAAAAAAGTGAGTTACAGGAAACTTTAAAGTTTGTCTTCAAACATCAGGAAAAAAAGCACATTTTTTTCTAAAACACAGAAGTAGAGGCGACAGAAATGTTACAAGAAGGAGTAGGTTCAAGAATTTTTAAACAACTGTCCCCTGGTCAACTACTGGAGGAGAAACGGTTGCCTCATAAAAATGGTTGAAAACCTTTTCTGCTAGAGGAGAGAAAACTCCTACATGTCTTTCAGTCCCCACCTCAGTTTTCTCTACATGAGAAAGCTTGCCCAAATCATCTTTACCATCCAACCTGAATCCAGGACCTTGACCTTGACCCTCTGAGGCCCCTTTCTGCAACTGCACACTGGGCTTCTCTGAAACAGGATCCTGGCTGTATGCCCTGGAGCCACAGCACTCATTGTAATGCTGAGAACTGAGCAAATACTCAGAGGTCAAGTGGGAAAAATTGTTGAATATCCAAAAGAGATTTGAAGAGGCGGTTGAAGTTGATCTTCTGTAAATTCTGTGCATCTCAAATACATGATTTCTTGGTTGTATTTTCCAGCATCCAACTGACGTTTATTGTGGCCTTCTCAGACTGAATAACCAGCTTTGAAACAGCAGCTTGAGGCAAAAACACAGGAGAAAACAAACATTCCCTCTACTGTTTTTTTTTTCCTTCCTGCAACACAATGCCCTATGGCCCATCTTGTGATAGCCAGGATTTTCTTTGATTGGTCCATCTAAACAAATTGGCACAAAGGACCCACCACTTTTGCCGTTTAACAGTGAGTTCGTAGACAAAGTCCTGTTTGGAAACTAAAACTTGTAAAGAAATATGTATTGAACTCAACAAATTCAAAATTGCTTGTCTTATTTATTGCATCCAGTCTTGTAAAGTTTTGTGTTATACATTTCTACTCTGTAGTCTCTAAAAGATGGAAAGACTCCACAGTCAACTGGTAAAAGCTAACCAGTCCTCCCTCATTCCCCCTCTTTGTACACTTTCAAGTTCAGAAGATGTAGGACACTTTCATGCTCATTAAACCTGTTAGCATCGATGCCATCCCCCTGGGCCAGTGGACAGGTGACTATTTGCAAGGTTGCAAATAAATAGAAGTTGCAAATCTGGAATGGAAAGTGAGAATTATTTTCTAAGAATGGCTTATGGTGAGGGGCTGGGAGAGGAAGAAGACAATTGGAGGCTGATGAGCTGTGAAGTGTTTGAAATGGAGAGTGACATCCTAAAGCATTCAAGGATTTACATTCTTCACAGGCTCCGGGGTTATGGAAGAAAAAGACTTATCCACAAAAATGGACAGAATTAAAAATCTAACCTAATGTATGTGTTTACTATTTTATTTTTAGGAACGGCATTTCAATCCAATTCAACAAATCCTGTGATCCTACTGGATGCACAGTACAGGAGCAGGAAGATGAGTTTGACATAGTTTGTTTCCAGAGGTTATTAACATAAAGGTAGGAAAAAACGATGAAAATTGGGCTTATTGTAAGGATAATAATAGTTACCACTTCTAATGCCTACTATGTTCTTTTAAAAAAATCAGTATACAGCAGTATGGTAAGATCATGAACACAGAGGGCAATTGGCCTTGGCTTAATATCCACATCCACCATTTAACTCATTGTGTGTTGTTGAAAGAGCTCCTCAATCTCTCTAGCATCCCATTTGCTCATTTGTGAATCTGAAGCAATCAATGTATTCACAGGGTTATTATAAGAATTACAGGGATAAATATATATAATTACTCATTTACCAATTAATTAATTAAAATGTAGTTAGTCCTATATGTTTTAGCTATAATTGCTCTCATCTCTCTATGTGTGAAATGTTACTACATAGGTCATATTTCATGGCCATCATGCATTACTGCTACTTCACAGGTGAAGAAACTGAGGTCCATTGAGGTTAATCAGTATGTTCAAGTACACAGAGCAAGTCAGGGCTATCAAAGGACGAAAATTACAACAGTTTAGTTTAAAGGTCTGAACTGACTTTATTTGCAGTTCTAGAATCAAGTACCATTTCCTTCCATAAAACAGAATAAGTGTTGTAATAAGCTGAGCAGAAGATGCTGGTTTCATAGACAGAAGGCTGAGGAAAGCAGAAGCAAAGAACAAAGAGTGGATATGTGTTTTCAAAGTCATGTTACTTGTACATCAGGGACAGAGAGATAAAATAATAGAATATTAAACCAGTTGGTTAGCATCAAGTTATTTAAGGTTAGGTTTTTTGTGTGTAAAGATTAAGAGAGAACTTCAATATCATGCCTACTGAAACTGGCCTATTTGGAAAATTTGGCTGTTATCTCTCTCTTCTAATTTCTCCAAAACTTAGAAAATGACTTAGCTCTACTTTGGTGAGTGGAGCTTTAGCAAGGATGACTCCATTTTAATTTTAATCTGGTCTCCAGTACAGAAGCATTGTCTACAACAATGGCTTCCTATAATTTTATTCGTCAAAATTAAAGTTAGGGTGCAAATATTAACCTGTCTCCAAGATCCACGTTCTTATCACTGTGTTTCTCTGTATCCAAGGTGATAATATAACACAAAAGACAATATAACAGCGAAAGGACATGCTAGTTCATAACTTTATGAATGCAAGGGAAACACAGTAACTCCATGATAGATTCATGGAGGAGGTAGCTAGATTTTGAGCTGAGGTTAGAGGAAGAATTTTCCTACCTGACTTATCTTCCTATCAAGATAGATATTGCCTGGTGTTTTGGGGGTTTTGACCATGTATCACTTTGTTGTCAGCTTGGTGGCATTTCTGTGTTAGACAAGCTATGCCTGGTACCGAGCAGATGCTCAATGACTGTCAGCAAAATGAGGAATAAATAAATAGATTAATGAATAAAGGAGTGGCATTCTGAGTTTTCAGCAGAACATTACCTAAACACTTACGTAGCATTCAACAGCCCATTAGCCAGTCTTCTGATTACAAAGCAGTGGGATTCTTCTTTATTTGGAAAGAGGTTGGTGCTCTTGAAAATATACTATGAGCACAGAATGCCTTTGGGCTTAATAATTCCACTTTAAAATGAAAAATACACTAAAACTGCAAATCTATTGTGTGGCAAGATTTCAGCTCTGTAAGTATTCAGTTCTTTTTCAAACATAATTCTTTCCATATTAACTGGATTCATTTTGCTAATTAATGAAAACATCAGCTTCCAGGAAAACAGCATGGTTTTGTTTTTGTTTCTGTAGTAAAACTTACATTATCCTAACACTATCTATTGCCTGAAAAGATAGATGTACCCATTCTTTGAATCAATAATTGAGGTAACTGTAAGTCATGAGCACTCAGAACTGCAAAAACTTAAGAGTGGTTCACAGAACTCTCCCCTCAGGGAATCCGAAATGTGTTTTAGAAGATAAGATAGACTCACACACACAATGAAGCTAAATAATAAAACACTGGGCAAATGACAGTAAACCTTATTGGAAAGAAGGACAGAAATCCTTCCGTGGGCTGAGCCTAACTTGTTAGAGAATAATGTCTATTCCAATAAGAGTTTTTGTTTTTAAAATTTTATGTTCTTTGGAGGATAACTGGAAAAAGTACTTGGCATTGAGTCAGTTATTATACAAACTATACCAACCCTTTGAGAAGTATTTCTGGAGGGCTTGATCTTGCCCAAAGTCTGAGGGGGAAAAAATATGGCACAACCTCAGACAGTTCAAAGGAAAATGGCATATGTTTTTCAAACATTAAGATATTTTCAATCTTCGTTAGGCTGTGCATATAAAGGCAAATAGAAAGTAAACCAAAGAGGAAAATGTACTGGCAGTGTTCTGTCTCCAGATCTGGGAGGTGATCACATCTGTGTGCCTCTGCAAAAATTCATGAGATTGAGCATTTTCTCATATTGTGTTATATTTTAATATAAATTTCAAATTGAAAAATAGAAAGGAATAAACCACTCAGATAAGCAAGGACACTTTAGGATTCTCTCCCATTTCCAATTCCTATTTAAGTCTCCACAGTCACCTTAAAACACAATGACCTTCTACCTCGTATAGATATGCTTCTTTTCTCACCCATTTGTGTAGATAATTGCTCCAGGGCACCGTGTCTAATCCCCCATATCCTTGTTTAAAATCTATTATGGCTGTGATAGAAAACTAGATTCCTTTTGGTCTGGAAAAACATTAGATATCCTTGGTTTTCAAAAGAGATTTTCAAATTGTTTTTGAAGAAAAAAAAATGCCATGGAAACATCTGGAGGGGCTGTTTGCCATGGTTACTGTAAGAGTGATGTGGCTCAGAGAGGATGGACAATAAAAGGGCTCCCCCCTGCTACACCCTGGGGAGAAAAGTGTTCTGTGATAATGATGGTTACTAATTGCTCAGCCTTTATCTAGTTCAGGCTCAATTTTAAGCACTTTACGCATATCAATACACTCAACAACGCAATGAGGTGGACACTATCCATTTTTCCATTTTACAGATGAGAAGCTGAAAGCAGAAAGAAGTGAAGAATTTCACCTATGGCTACTCAGAAGAGGACCTGGGATGAAAACCAGCCTGACCCTGGGCTCATCTGTTGACTCTAGGTCTGTACAAGGGATGGTCAAAATATACGGCAAATGTTTATGTTTTTTTAAAAGATTGCATTAAAAACACACTGCTATTAATCTCCCTCACTTCAAACACACTTATCCCACTATTTTTGCTATGTTCTGTAGCAATTCTGGAAGTCCTCTTTCCTGAGTGTCTTTGTGAGGTGTGATAAAAAATTCAGTGAATGCCTCGCCCAAGTGTCATCCGAGGGAAAGGCAGGCTTATAAAAACACAGTGTGTCCTTATCCACTCTACTCACCAGATTTGGCATTATGTGACTGCTGACTCTTCTTCAAAGTCAAAATGACCACAAAAGTTCCTTTGGAATCAATTCAGGACATTGAGGCCATCATGAGAGTATAAATGAGGACATTTAGGAAAGAGGACTTACAGAACTTCTTCAGAACATAGCAAGAATAGTGGGACAAGTGTGTCTGGAGTGAAGGGGAGTATTTTGAGAGAGATACAGGGCAATGTGGCTTTTACTGTAATAATGCTTTAAAATTTTAGACATTCATCACTTTTTACAATCATACCTGCTATTATCTCAATAGACATAAAGAACAGGGTAACAGTGATTTCACTGAGAAGATATTGATAGCTTTTAATGCTCTTTCCTGTGAATTCCCCCATTGACCTCCAGGACATAACAGTATTTCTGAAGTTATTCCTAATATCAGCTTTGTCTTTTTCAAGTGACCCTTGACTTGTAGGAAAAGGGATCCAAGGTCCTGTCCATGAGCAAAAATAAAGTCCTGAAAGTTCCAAGCTCAGTCAGCCTCTCTGAATACATAGGTTTCACACCTGGGGATTCAGCTAAACCATGGATCAAAAATATTTTGGGAAAAAAAGTGTATAGACTTTTTTCTTGTCATCATTCCCTAAACAACATGTATTGAGTATTTCCTTAGCATTTACTTTATATTCGGTGTTATAAATAACATAGAGAAGATTTAAAGTATACAGGGGAATGTGCAAAGATATTATGTAAATACTATGCCATTTTATATGAAGGACTTGATTGCCAGCTAATTTTGGTATCTGTAGGGTGTCCTGGAATCAATCACCTAGGATACTGAGGGATGATTGTATTGGCTTTAAGGTAAGACAAGTTTAAGTTAATAGTCCTTTTCCTACTATTAATTAACTCTGAGAACTTCTTCAAGGCATTTGCCTTCTCTGGGCCTGGTTTGCTCATCCGAAAGGTGGCAATATTACCTTCCATTCTGCAAGGATTCTGGTAATATTTAAAGTGGTCAAGTATGTATTACACACAAAATAGGTTCTTAAAGGTATCAGTCAGTTCACTGTGCTCATCACGACAGTGTTTAAGTCACAGGGACCTGTAAGATACTGTTAGTAACTCCCTATTTTCTATGCCTTACAGCACCCAGCTCACTTTTCCATTGGAGCCACAGTAGCATTTGAACAAATCTTAAATAATCATTTCATTTTGCATCTAAAACATTCACACTCAAAAGAAAAAGGGCCTAGCTGATGCTCTTCATTCAAAATGTCACTGCAGAAATGTAGCTGAAAATTAGGCATGTCATAGTTATTAAATGATTTTCAAAAATGTATGGGAGTCTGCTATTACAACTAGGGGAAAATAGTAATCACTTCATGATTAGTATTGAAAACCTTTGGCAAACTGTGAGGAATATGTGACCCCTGGAGAAGGACTGGACATAAGCAGTGAAAACTCATTAAGTGGTCAAGAAAAAAGGGCTCGTGTGAAAAGGTTAAAAATAATTGGGATTAGTTAGTCCAGAAGAAAAGACTAAATGGCAATTTAATTACTGTCTTCATTCCTTCGCAGGATGAGTCGCCTTCCATCCTGCCGTTGCTCTTATCTCTACTAATGAGAAAACTTGAGGCAATGACCTTAAAAGAAAGCAAAGATGTAGACCATTCTTCTTGAGACATTTTTGAGAGAGCAAACATTTAAAATTCTGCCATTGAGACAGTATAGATACACCCGGAGGACCTTGTGCTAAATGAAGCCAGCAAGGGACAGAAAGAAAAATGCTGCATGCTCTCACTTACATGTGGACTGTAAGAAAGTCTAATTCATAGAAGTGGAGGGTAGAACAGCGAATTATTTTCAGGGCAGTGGGGAAAGTGGAGACACATTTGTCCCAGGCTGCAAACTTTCAGTTTTAAGATGAGTAAGTTGTGGGGATCTAACGTACAGCACAAGGACTAGAGTTAATGATACTGCATTGTACACTTAGGGTTCGCCAGGAGCATAGACCTTCATACCTTTTATTTTGGTACTTGGGATTGAATCCGGGGACTTTATACTAAACTACATCATCGGCCCTTTCTATATTTTTATTTTAGGACAGGGTCTTGTTAAGTTGCCCAGGCTGGTCTCAAACTTGCAATCTTCCTGCCTCAGTCTCCTGAGTAGCTGGGATTATGCGTGGCCATATTTTTTTTTTCTTTGAGACAGAGTCTCACTGTGTTAAAAATGCCAGAAACTGAAAGATGATGGGTCATATGGTGGACTCTCCAGTCCTCGAACCTTTAATCCCTTAAATTTGAGTCTTAGTTTCCACTTTGCCAAAGTCTCTGCACTGCCATTGTGTTATACTCAATTACGAGGAGCTACTTGGAAAATAAGGACTTGCTTTTGCCACAGAGCCGTGGAGGAAATAAAAGGTCAGCTGTCAAAAGCACAGTTGGGAGCCAACTCTGCTTTTTGTGACCTTCCAAATTTCCCATTAGAAAGCAGTGATCTCAGTGATTTATCAGCATGGGCAGCTGGGGCTATGATTAGATGAAATGCTGCTAAGGGACTATTAATATTTAGGCAAGTGACTCCACTTGCAGGAGGACTTGTGGTCCAGGACGGTCAATCTGCCTGCATTTATTGGTGAAATTGTCTCTTTGAGGAGGGGGTGGGGCTGGCAAATTATCAGCCCCACCTTCACCCAGTCACCTGCCCTACAGAATCTATGCATTTGCAGAGAGCTTCTTAGTATGATTTGGGGGTCATTTTAGATACTTGGGTCTCCCTTTCCTTAGAAGAGAGTTCTCCTTTCCTTTATATGCTCTCTAATACCCATTCCTAATCTAGGGAACCTTAATCCCGTTAACTCCTTTATTTTCCCTGAAGTGTCTCATCTCTTCTTTTTGGCTTTAGGTGAGAGATGTCAGTCAGTTGATTCCATCTATCCTGTTCCCTTCCGGGTTGGGGATCAGGGGTGGATAGTTTTAAGCTTTTTTATTGAAGGATGAAAAGGAAAAAGAAAATCTTTCCCATTGTCTGGCTTTAAAACAGAATGACTGAGACATACACATTTAAAAATGTGAAGATTGACTGTTTACTAGTTAATCTGTTATCAATCTCTTATTTTCTTCTTTGAGTTCCCTTTCCAATAGCCTGTGTTGTGTTTAAGGAAGGGGGTCAGGGCATGTTCTAAATCCTGGGAGCAATCATCAGGGAGTGAAGAAAATTAAAGCAGCTCGCAACGGCAATAATTAGACAAAGAGACAGGGAATGGAGAAGAAATGGAACAGTAGATGGCAGAGAAAAAAATTAATTTTATTTCACAAAGCCCTGTGAAAAGATGAAAAGCAGTTGAAAAACTATATGTGAGGTGTGCCTAGGACCCCATTTCTATCCATAGGGACAGGGGACAGTGTGAGCTGAATCATAGGTGAGAACACATAAGCAATAAAAATATATTCTTCTAGAATAAAAATGCTTAAACCTTCTAGGTTCAGAGAGACACAAACATTTCCTACCCTTTGAGATGGTTACTGGAGCTGATGGAAGAGGCCAGGCAGACAGTGAGAGTGAATTATGTTCACAGACCCAGATAGCGCTCACCGACCCAGATAATGTTCACCCATGGACAAAGCAAAACCACCAGGTAGGTACCAGGAGTGTCCACACAAGGGCTTCCAAGTTTCCAAGGAAAGCCAGAAATCCAGTCTTTACATTAGAACTTCTAGTTTTGCTGTTGATGTTTGTTTTGTTTTAAATTGGAGAACTAATTCAGAAGAAATGTGCATGCCCTGCAGATAGGCAAGATGTTGTCTTTGAAGGTAGGGAAAGGAAACATGGTATTTTCTGTACTATTTTTGCAACTGCCAGTGAATATATACATGTTTCAAAATTAAAAGTGAAGGAAAGAGAAATTGCTTAAAACAACACTCCGCAAATCAAAACAAAATAGGCTGGCAGCTACATTTTTCCTGCACTCTTCCAGTTACACAGGCTGCCTTGCTTCTTGAGTCCCAGCTCTGAGAAGCAAGAGCAGACAGTATTCCCAGGGATGCCCAGAAAAGGACCTCTCCTGATACTTCATTTCTTTTAACACAATAAACTATTTCTTCTGGGTACGCTCACTGGAGAAAAGTAGAAAAAAATGTTTGGAGAATTCCAGTTGTTCCAAAAATAATGAACTTCATCAGTATAGAAGAAATTTTATTTGAGTTGATGGTTAATGTGACTAACATTAGAGTAGAGAGGTGGAAGAATTCTAACCTTCCTGGGGGACTTTGGCTGGAGGAGGATGGTTGGGGGTTGTGCCATAAAGACCAAATAAATTCATTTTACACTCAGTACAATTTTGGTTTCCTTCCTTAAAAATCCTGAAAAGATCTTGGACAAGACTTGTTCAGATCATTTTTTCCCCCAGTACCTGGGATCGAACTCAGGACCTTGTGCTTGCCAGGCAGGTGCGGCGCCACTGAGCTACATCCCTGGCCCTTCTCATTATTTATTACCTGTGCAATGGGTGTGGTATAATCTCTGCTTCCCAGGTCTGAGATAGAATCACATGAAGTAATACAAACTGAAAGTCTTCAATAATCTTTAAAGCAGCAAACACACGTAAGTGGTGTTGGTTGTTCTTCATTTTTTTTTGTATTAAATTCTTTTATTGGTACATTGTAGGTACACAACAAAATTACTTTTCTCATTGGGAATTGTACCTTTACATAATGCATCTTGGTTCTCATTTTTTTTCCCCATTCCTAGCCCTCCCTTTACACCTTCCACCCTTCCCTATTTACAAAGACTTTATTTCCATTTTTTCCATTTCTCAGCATTTTTCTTTTCCCTTCTTTCCCTTCCCCTGCCCCTCCCACTACCCCTACCCCTTTGGACCTTTTTTTCCTATTTTGCATTATTGATTATTCATTCTAATCATAGGTACATTTTAGGTATACAGTATAATGACATTCATCATTGGAAATTTGCACCTTTACATAGTCTCTCTTGGTTCGTATTTTTCACCCTTGCCCAGCCCTCCCTTCAACCCCTCCA